TCATGCCTAAATTGGTTAATAAATATCTACCACTGATACCACAAGAGAAAGGAGACAGTTTAAGGATTTAGAATGACCTTTCAAGAAATACTGCTGAGTTTTTCCCTTTTCTGGACTCCATTTTTAACTCTAAGGAATTTGTTGAACTTTATGAATTTTTTTCTAATTCTTCCATTAGAAATATATTTTTCACTTTTCAAAAATCCTGGCAACAAAGTCAGAAGAAATCTTAAATCTCACATAGCTCAGTTTTCCATGGAATTTAGGAATCCTATCCACAACATACTTGTTCTGACTAGTTGGTTGCAGTGTTTGTAGGGGATGACATAGGATCATCTAGATATGTCCAGATGATATGTCACAAGGTAGTCCAATTGTTGACCATCTATAATGATAAGAAAATTACCTCTTATTAGACCAAAGATCATTAGGATCATTAGTATAAGCCACTGTGTGTGACCCTTTAGGTGCATTTGGAGAGCACCCTCCAGGAATAAACAACTGTAGAAGAATCCAAGCAGGTTTACATAGATAAGACAGGGAATTGAACCTGAGTCAATACAATGAGAATGAGATATGACTAGAGAAACACAAAGATATGAGTTAGATGAGTTGATAATGATGAGTGATGAGTGATTTACTAAATATTAGCATAGATAAGAAATCAGGCCCTGCTTAAGTGCTTTACATTTATTAGCCATTAATTTCTTACAAAGATCTCATGAAGAACACTGCCTTCATTTTACAGTTGTGTGAGTGCGCCCCTGTGCATGTGCACACACAGTAGCTAGTCAAAGGTCATACAGCTAAAAAGTGAAAGAGCTTGAATCTGAACCAAGACCATTTGGCTTCAGAGTTGGATATTTAGCCATTACAATAGATCAACTTACTGACTATAAGAGAATGCCTGTCATTGTTCAATCTTTTAATCCTCATAGCAATCCTACAAAGCAGGATTCTGTTACCCTATTACAAACAGCTAAGTAACTTGCCCAAGGTCATACAGCTAATGAGTATTAAAGTTGGGATTCAGTCCTAAGTAGCTAGTCTCTAGATCTGATGCCTTTCCCCATTACTATAGATTCCCTATATGGTAGACTCCAGATAGATGGTAATAGCATCAGATACAAAGCTTTGTCATATGCAGGGAAGGGAAATGGTAAGGTGGGCAAGAATAGGTACCAGCAAGTAAAACGTGGAGGAAAATTAGCTGCTGACTGGCTGTGTAGGACACCCAGGGAACTCTCAACCCAAAAGTAGAGAAGACAAATGATCTTTAAAAACCTTCCATAGGAGTACATTCCGGAAGCTGCCCATGCAGAGAGAAAAGTTATCTACAAATCTGGCAAGAGATGATCTCCAGCTCTCACTGATAATAGGGAAATGAAATTGAATATAATTTGCCTGTTTGGGTTTCAGGAAGGGGGTGAGAATTTTGCAAATACCTGAATGTTTACTATGATTGTTTAAACAAAAACGGTCCATTAAAATTCAAGCTGCTGGGCTGGGATTGTAGCTCAGGGGTAGAGTGCTTGCCTAGCATGTGTGAGGCATTGGGTTCGATCTTCAGTATCACATAAAAAATGAATAAATAAATAAAATAAAGGTATTGTGTCCATATTCTTAAAAAAATTTAAGCTGCTGTATTCCCTTTCTTAACAGATTTTTTTGTTTGTTTGTTTGTTTGTTTGAACACAGGGTCTCCCTATGTTACCCAGGCTTTCTTTAAACCTCTAGTCCTAAGCAATCCTCCTGCTTTAGCTTCTGAACAGCTGGGTCAGTAACAGGCAGGTACCACTGCCCCCGGCTTACACAGCTTTTTAAAAAGCTGCACAGAAAGTTTCATGGTACATAAAAGTATTAATAAGATGTCTGTGATAATTTGTGCTGAATATTAAGCACAGTAATTATTGTCTTTCAAAAATTCATAAAATAAACTTTTAAACTGAGGCTTAAGTTCATTGGATCTGATGTTACAGCTATTTTCTTTTATTCATTAGGTGAACATTGCTCAGTAATCTAAAATAATCTCCAAATAGATGCTCAGGAAATTATGCTGGGGGTGGAGTTATAAGATTTTTAATATATACATATTAATTCATTTACTAAGCAAGCAATTTTTAAAAATATTCAATAGTAAATTCTGTGCTTACTAACTGCATTGATTCAGTAAATATTTATTTTTATTTTTAATTAATTAATTATTTATTGCTTTTTAGTTATACACAACAGCAGAATCTACTTTGATACAATTATAGAAGCATGGAATATATTTTATTCTAGTTAGGATCTCATTTGCTGGGGTACTGGGGATTGAACTCAGGGTCACTTGACCACTGAGCCACATCCCCAGCCCTATTTTGTATTTTATTTAGAGACAGGGTCTCACTGAGTTGCTTAGCACCTCGTCATTGCTGAGGCTGGCTTTGAACTCCCGATCCTTCTGTCTCAACCTCCAGGAGAAAGCCATCTGCCCAGCGTAGGACTTCATTCTTATGGATATACATGATAGTGGAATTCATTGTGTTGTTTTCAAATATGTACATGGGGAAATTATATCATATTTATTCCACCATCTTTCCTTTTCCTATCCCCCTCCTTCCCTTCCATTTCCCACTATCAATCTATTGTACTTCTATCCCCCCCACCCCCATATTGTGGGTTAGCTTCCACACATCGGAGAAAACATTTGATCTTTGGTTTTTTGGGACAGTCTCCAGATCCTCCATCCATATTTTTACAAATATCATAAAGTTATTCTTCTTTAGGGCTGAGTTTAATACTCCATAGTGTGTGTGTATATATATATATATATGTTTTCTTTATCCATTCATCTGTTGAAGAGCGCCTAGGTTGGTTCCATAGCTTAGCTATTGTGAACTGAGCTGCTATAAAAATTGATGTGGCGGCGTCACTATAGTATGTCGATTTAAAATCCTTTGGGTATATATTGAGGAGTGGGATAACTGGGTCAAATGGTGGTTCCATTCCAAGTGTTTGATTCAGCAAATACTGAACATGCACTTTGTGCTAGATTCTGACATACATTCTCAGAAAACAGTAGCAGCGAAAAGTAACAAATTTTCAGTCCTGCCTTTATGAAGCTCACATTCTAGTGGGGAGGGAGAAAATAATCAGAAAAAACATAAGTAAAATATAGGACATTTTAGATGCTAGTAAGCGCTAAGAAGAAAAATAAAGCAGGGTAAAAGCATGGGTGGCGGAAGGCAGGTAGTAATTAAATTGGGTAGCCAATGAAGACATTCTAATGCACGTACTTATGGAGCCAGATTTGAGGATAGGTAGTTAGTGTAATTAGGTAAATCGGGTCTAATATCGAGTAAGATAAAGAAAAATGGAGGCCATTATTGAGAATGGAGTCCAGGAAACCAGAGCAGCTCTTGAGGAAATTGAAATGTTAATGTCCCCAAGGCCAGGAACCCATCCTAAGGAACTGTTAATGAAACAGCTCCCAGCATACAATGAGGTGCTAATCCAAAACAGCCCCAGGCCCTTCCTGCCCAGATTACTCCTTCAGCCCATCCATCTCCTACCTTTTGGCCTTTCCACCTGCATTCTATCACTGAAGGATTAAGGGAAACAAAGGACAGGAGTGTGGGAAGACTAAAAGAAGATTTTAGCTATAAAAGAGGGAAGACCTCCCCCTTCCATGGATTCCGCCTTCCGTCCCCCTTCTTCCTCCAGGGAGAAGTCTTTTCTGCTATCCTTTAATAAAGCCTTCCACTTTCCACTCATGTTGCTGTGCTTCTCTGGTGTTTATACTTCAGCATTCCCAGAAGCAAGGACTCCTCACTGGTAAACAGCAGTAACACTTAGGGCTGCCTGATACACTTTTATACATGCCCAAAATAATAATGTAAGAAACAATAAAAACGTGTACAGGTTTTAGGGTGCTAGATATGGACACTTTTTTAAGTCTATAAAAGGATCCTAGGGCTGGGGTTGTAGCTCAGTGGTAGAGTGCTTGCTTAGTACGTGTGAGGCACTGGGTTCGATCCTCACCACCATATATAAACAAATAAATAAAATAAAGGTATTGTGTCCATCTACAACAAATAAAAGGATCCTAGATATACCTAGTTTTAATTTCATTTTAATAGTAAATACTTAGGGTATCATTTTTTTCAAATGTAGTTTTCCAAGGAGTGGTAGGATTCACTTTTTCTCCACACCAGGAAGCCCCCAAGGTCCTGTTTACTTAGGAGTAAATGAACTATGTCTCATTTTAATGCTTTTATTCCCCACAGCCTGTAACTGGCGCACATCGTTCAAAACAAGTTTGGTACCTGGCACCAATGGAACCCACTGAAGGTGCAAGTCCACTTACTATTAACTACAGATTTGGGTCCTAGAGAACTAATGAGCAACAGGGTCCCCTCTGCACACGTCTCCGTCGCCTAATGCAAGCCAGCGTGGAGGAGGTGGGGGAATTCCAACTTCGCAAGGACAAATTTCTGACGAAATCTCTTTCTCTAATCGGACTGGAACGCTTTCTGGCCTTTTTCTTCTGCCGAAATAGAACGAACCTACAGATCGTGGTCTGTGTGCTCCAGAACCAGGGTCCCATTCAGAGAGCAGTGTGGGGGCGAGAGGCCACAGCAGTACTCCGACCTCAGGAAGCCCCTCTTGGTGGCGAACACGGTACCTGTCCCTGGGTCGTTTCCCTGCTTCGCCCGCTCCCTCGTTCCGGGTCTGGAGCTGCCCAATCCGCGGGCCACCTCCCGCCCGCCCAGCCCCAAGAGCCAGAGGACCCCGAGGACCCTGCCCATCCTTCCTGGAAGGAGAACACACTCAGCAGGGTCTTCCTCTCTAGCCTCCGGGTACGTTTGCAGCCCGCCCCGCCCTTCCCGGCAGGTTCCCTATTGGCTCTCGCGCCGGGAGAAGATGCCCTCTGATTGGCCGGCGAGCCGCTACCACTTCGGACGCGGCGCTCTCGGGGCGGGGCCTGCCATGGAGTGACTAGCGGCCCGGAGGAGTGTGGGGAGGACGCGTTCACCTGCGCTCTCAGGCAGGGCTAGTGTGCGCACCACCCGGGAAGGGTAGCCGGAGTGGGGGACCCAGGGGGTGGTGGGGCTGGGGTGCCGGGAGGGACCAGGTACCGAGGTAGGGAGGTGGGCTGGGGCGCGAAGCAGCAGCAGGGAGCACGGTGACATGGCGCGGCCAGACGCTGAGGAGGGGGCGACGGTGGCCCCCGGGCACCCGCTTGCGAAAGGATACCTTCCGGTCCCGAGGGACTCTGCGGCCGGGAAGGTGAGCGCGGAGCAGCAGAACGGGCCCAGAGCTGGCTCCCTGCTCCTGAATGGGGTCCCCAGGGACAACGCCGCTGCCCTCTCGGGAGCGCTTGGCGGGCCGCAGATTCTGCTGGCGCCGGAAGAGGAGACCCAGGCCCGACTGCTATCCACGGACGCGGGGGAGGAGACTCCGGGGGCCGAAGGGACACCGCTGCCCCAGACCGCGCTTTCCACGCGGCGCTTTGTGGTGCTGCTGATCTTCAGCCTGTACTCGCTGGTGAACGCCTTTCAGTGGATCCAGTACAGCATCATCAGCAATGTGTTCCAGGGCTTCTATGGCGTCTCTTTGCTGCACATTGACTGGCTGTCCATGGTTTACATGCTGGCCTACGTGCCCCTCATATTCCCAGCCACCTGGCTGTTGGACACCAAAGGCCTGCGACTCACCGCCCTGCTGGGCTCTGGCCTCAACTGCCTGGGTGCCTGGATCAAGTGCGGCAGTGTGCAGCAGCATCTCTTCTGGGTCACCATGTTGGGCCAGTGCCTATGCTCCGTGGCCCAGGTGTTCATCCTGGGCTTGCCCTCCCACATCGCCTCAGTTTGGTTTGGGCCCAAAGAGGTGTCCACGGCTTGCGCCACCGCCGTGCTGGGCAATCAGGTAAGGACCTGAGTGAAAGAGAAAAGTCGGATCCTTGGAGGACCAGAAAAAGCCATAGTCCATGTGAGCTAGGCATATAAATGGACCTCGGGAGACATTTGTCTATGAAATGAAGATGAGGAGATGAATAGTTGTAAAATAAGAGGCAGTCTTGTATTAAAGAGGGCTTTTAGGCTCTTTGTAAGGACAGAACTTTCAAAATCAGCTTACAGTGACTACCTTGTCGTCTTGCTTTGAAAATTATTTATATTGGCCTGTATGTGCTTAATGTCATAGAAAACTTGTCAGTGCATTAATGAAGTAACTTGCATAGGTGTTATGTTTGTCACCAGTGTGTTCTTTGCAAAAGGGAGGTGGTGGATTCTGGGAAGTTTGTTTTCATTTAGAGTGGTCATTGTGAACACTATTTAATTTTATATATTAGTAGTCAGCACAGAGCTATGTATTAATGACTCCTAAATCAATGTTCTGGTGATAAAGATTTCAAGGCATTACTGAGTCCAATTACTTACTTTAAACAATAAGACTATGCAAGACAAATCACCGATTGTGGAAAACATTGCAGAAAGGATGGCTTTTTTGCTAAGTCTCCAGATTGTAATGCCATTAGCATTTCAGAAGCATTGTTGGGTAGAATGATTTTTGTGTGTGTTTTTAAAAACTTCGGACTGATTCTCATTATTTAAATTATGCATATGGGATCCTATGATACTTTATGTAAACTATATTGAGTGTTCATTCAGCTTGAGAATATCTAGTTAAAAACTGGTACGCCAAAACCTCCACATTTCTATACTTATATTGCCATATGTAACTATGTAACACAAGAATGTTACTTTCTCACTTCAAATCTCACACTTGTTTCAAGATCACAGGAATATTTATTTAAAATACACAAAGACTGACTCTACATGCTGGTTGCTTTATTTCCTTTTTCTACAAGTGCAGAAGAAAGAGTAGCTTGAAACATATTTGTGTATTCAAAATAATTTATGACTGACACTTCACTTGGTTGCTTCTGCATATTTCAACGGGAGCTGTTTTCTTAAAGTATTTTACATTTAAAAATTATATTCAAGATTAATTCTTCATTGAGCATGATAAAAATATCAACTCCATTTACTTATAGGCAGACTTCCTTTTAACCACACACTTGTGGATCATCTTCCTACTCTTCCTTGTGTTCTCATTCCTTCCTTGGCTCTAATAGTTGTACCGTTGCTCATTATTCCCAAGTATGTACTTTCAGCCTAGTTTTATTCATACTCAGCATTGTTGAGCACTCACTAAGAGGCTGGCAACACACTAAGTGTTTCGCATGCATTATTTCATTTAATTTAATACTGTAAGATTGGAACTGTTAGTCTACTCATTTGATAGGTAATAGAAACTGAGACTTGAAGTAATGAAATTATTTTGTAATGGTCACATAGCTAGTTAGTGGTGTGTGACCACACTCAAGTCTGTCTAGTTCTTGAATTCCTAGCTTTTAATTTCTGCATCTGTACTGCAAGTCTCTAACTAGAAGACCCTTTTAAAACATAGATCAAATTATGTCGTTGCCCTGCTTTGAACTTGCCAATGATTTCCCATAGTACATAAAATGTAAACTCTACTCTAAATGACAAAAACTAAAAAAACAAAAACCCCACCAACTTACATATATGTTTTCTTTGGTTCCTTAAACAGCGCTAAGCTTGTACTTGGTTAAGGGTCTTTGCAGAAGCATTCCCTTTGCCTAGAATGTTCTTCATTTTAGGATCATGTGATTATATTCTTAGTATCACTCAGCTCTCTGTTTAAATTCATTCTAAATATCCAGTGGCATTTCTCAATCCCATTTAGAGTTGCTCAATTTTATATATCATTATATTGTAATTCTTCATATTACATTTATCACTCTCATATTTATTATTTATGTATTTATATACATACATGTTCATTGTTGTCTATTATCCATCTCCTTTCCCCTTGATTATAATGTAGATTTCATGACAAGCTACATGATGTGAATACACACAGCTCTATCACTACACTACTATATCATTATCATTACTGTATTTATTATAGCACCTGGCTTGTTGTAGGCTCTCCCTGAAAATATGATGAGTGCATGAAGGAACTTCAGACTCATTACCACTGGAGTACTGCCATATCTCCTAGGAACCCACCACTCAAAATTAGCCTTATCTTGTAGTTCATTTCTTTTCATCTCTATTGCTTAGTTTGGCCACCCATGGTGCTTACCTAGACCATACTAACTGATCTCCTTATCTGCAGCTCTTGCTGCCTTCCCTCTGTTCTTCACAGTCTTCCTGCTCTCTAATGTGCCAGATCTGTTCAGAGCACTCCCTTGGCCCCTGCAGTGGCTTCCATTGTCCTTAAGATAAAACAAGACCCCTCTAATGTGACTTGCAAGATTTTCTAGATCTGCCTCCTACCAGCTCTTTATCTCACTCCATGCCCCCCTCCCGTTTTCCGCATACACAGTCTTTCTCTGCTTTGAGCCAGACCGTGCATACTGACAATTTCTTACAAGGTCATGTTGTCCCCTTCCTGGCCTTTTTACATAATGCACTTTGGCTTAGAACACTACTTCTTGTTCATTTGTCTAGCTCTAACTTCTTTCAGCCCTTTGTTTCTCCAAAAACTTTTCTTAAACTCAAGTCTGTACAAGGTGTTCCTACAAAATATTCTACTACCTAGAATGAGCACATGTCTCAGTTTACCTGGCTTAGTCTGGGTGTACATCTGTTGCTTAGTATAATTACTATTGAAGTTTGTTTTACTCTGAACAGTGCTCTGATTTGGGTAATAAATTACACAGTCTCCCCAGTCTTAGAACTCTCTAATTCTCCATCACAGTACTGTATTACCACAATCTGTTAGAATATCTTTTTGATTGTCTCTATTCAGCTTTTTGGAAAGAAGCAAGTGAAATATTTGTTAAACATTATTCTTCGTACCTCAGCCTTGAAACATTTCTTGGGCCCTTCCCAATGTCCAATACCACGAAGTAGTCACTCCCCTCCCTCCTTCCTTCTATTCCCTAGTAATTACTAAACTGCTTTCTCTCCATATGTATTTACCTAGTCTGAATGTTTCATACAAACAGAATTATACAATAAATGGCCCCATTTGTATCTGACTTCTTTCGCTTATCATGTTTTCAAAGTTAATGCATGTTATAGCACTGTATTAGTACATCATTCCTTTTTGTAACTGAATAATATTGCATATACCACAGTTTATTTATCTGCTCATTCACTGATAAACATTTCAGTTATTGCCATATTTTGGATATTGTGAATTATGACTACTATGAACATTTATATATAATTATTTATTTGAATACCTATTTTCAGTTTTGGGGGTATATACCTAGGCATAGATTGCTGTTTCATAGGGTAATTTTATCCACAATGGCTATATCATTTTATACTTCCACCAGCAGTATAGGAGGGTTTTAAATCTCTCCATATTCTTGCCAACCCTTGTTATTTTATTGTTATAGCCCTTCTAGGGGTGTGATGTGGAATCTCATTGTGGTTTTGATTTTCTTGTCCCTAAAGACTAAAGATATAGGCATTTTTTAATATGCTTATTGGCCATTTGCATATATTTAGGAAAATCTCTATACAAGTCCTTTGCTTATTTTAAAACTAGAACATTTGTCTTTTTGTTCTTTAGTTGTAAGAGTTCTTTATTTTGGATGCTAGTCTCTTGATTCTTTCTCATTCTGTGGTTTGTTTTTTCTTAATCCTGTTTTTACATATTCTTACTCCCCTTCATGTTTGTAAGCATGAAAGGGTAAGGACTATATCTTATGTAACTTTATAACGGAATCACTCAGAGTAGAAACTCATTATATGTTTTTTGAATAGTAAAGAGATTTGTTGGAAATTTTCCTTCAACAATAATACAAGGACATTAGAACATAGTTTTAGAATTTATAGTATACCTTTATAAATATTAGCTCTTCTGTATGTTTTGTTAAATGGCAGTATTTACCTTTTTCTCTAATGATATGAGCTGTTAACAGGACTGTTCATTTTACAGCTTGGAACCGCAGTTGGCTTTTTACTACCACCTGTTTTAGTGCCCAACACACAGAATAACACAGATCTCCTGGCTCATAATATAAGCATCATGTTTTATGGAACATCAGGTGTTGCCACACTTTTATTTATTTTAACAGCAATTGGTAAGTGAATTATTTTCCTTAAAGATTAGATAAATGCATGACAAAAATATGAGAATAACTAACTCTGAAAATTTTTGTTAATACAGTCACAAATGCCATTTGCTTGTTTTATTCTAGCTGTGTACTATGCTCAGATAATGATGGTACAACCCTAGGGTCCACTACATGGTATTTTACTATTGTAAAAGGTTTGATGACTAATCCATCTCATTTATCTCCCTACTAACTTTTCTTTCTGATAATTTCAAATATATTACTTGCTTCCTTCCCATATTTGTCTACATGGTCTGCTTCTTATGCCTACCTAGCCAGGAACAAGTTTTTGTCATGCTTTGAAATGAGTCAAGTAGGCTACCATCTTTCTTTTAATGATAAGTCCTCCCAAGGATCCCCAATTTTAAAATTAACTGGATCTAAAATGTTGACCAGTGAATGATCCTGGGCAGCAGCAAGCCGTTCAACGGAATTTCAAACTGTGGCGACTATCTGCTTGTTAGGCCACTCCAGCAAAGCACGGCTGCCACCATTCGTCACTGAGTCCTCTCGCCTGGGCCTGTCTCTTGAAGCAGTCAGTCAAAAGTCAGCTGCAAGCAGCCATCACCAGTTTGGAAGAAGCTTTGGGAAGGTCTGCTTTTTAAAGTTTATTTTTAATGAGAAGCAATTTTAATTTCAGAGAAAAAAGGTAGTGAGGTATATGTAAGTAATAGAGCTGTTAACATAACTATAATAATGCCCCTTGGCACTCTGTATCTTAAATGGAATTGGGGAAGAAAAGAACTATAAAGTTGAAAAGCCCCCTTTTCATCATTGAAATGTATAATTAAATATAATTATAGGCAGAAGTTTTAGATCTATATATTAACTTATAGCATGCCCATAATAGTAATGAAAAATTCATATTTTATGATCTCCAGATGTGAAATCCTCAGTTTTCAGAGAAATGTATGCTGAAGACTCTAGAGTGTTCCATAGAGACTGTCTTGGTAGATGAACTGCAGGATCCAGGTATAGGAAGCTCAGCCCACATGCTTAATTTCTTTTTTTTAAGATGATGAACAAAATGTTCTCTTGGTAGCATAATAAGTATTCTGACATGTCCGATCTGCTTGAGGTTGGTTTTTATATTTTCAGTTAATCAGAGAGTGGCATATTTGCAGTGTGCTGATTATTGAAAAAAAGACAAATTATCCCTATACTATTTTAGCACTTAACATGGTTTCTAAAACATTTTTAGAAGTAAAAACTCTCTTAAATTTGCTTTTTTAAAAAATATTTTTTAGTTGTTTATGGACCTTTATTTTATTTATTTGTATGTGATGCTGAGAATCGAACCCAGTGCCTCACGCATGCTAGGCAAGCACTCTACCACTGAGCCACAACCCTAGCCCCTAAATTTGCTTTATCTGGTAGCCATATTTGATTTGCTAGTTGGAATAGGAAATATTGTTTTTACATGTTTCATTAATAATAGATATTTTTAAGGCATAAAATTCTCATTCCATTGAGGGGCTTGTGTAAAAGAACATAAATTCCAGTTTTCCTTTTTATATCATTTTCAGTTAGTTTTCTATTTGGAAGAGCGTAGTAAACTACATATCAGATATCCAAAAATATGAAATTATTATATATATGATATGTTTGCATATATGCTTAAATTGATACAATATAAGATTTTATCTAAGGAAGAACAATCATAATAGGTATAACCATCGGCATATTACTCTGTTTTGTTTTCCTCGTGTCCAAATTTTTGCTCAAGGCTCCTGAATTACTAAGATATAACCCTCCTTCCCTCTGAATTCTACTCATGATTATTTTGAAAATCCAACCAACATGGTATACTGAATTGGTATTCAGCAGTCTTCCTAAAATACTGTCTTGAAAGTTCAGGCCATGGAACCCTATTCCCCTCCCTCATGGAGCATATGTGTGAATGTAGTTCATCCAGCATTTCCACTGAATTTCATGATGGAAGAACCCCACTGTAGCCTCTCACATTTGGTTGCTGATGTGTGCTAATCATCCCTTTGAGGAAGGTCCTGTTACCATCACTTCCATTTTACATAAAGATGAGGAAACTGGGTCATGTAACTTGATATAACTTTAAGTTGCCCAAGTTCACAATTAATAAAGTCAGGTTTAAGCCTAGATAGTCTAACTCCATATATAAAATGTTATATACAAAATAGATCATTTTAACTTTACTTTGCCTCATTTTATTTCTAATTTAAATTCCTCTTGTATAAGTGGTAATGTTGTTGTATTTAAAGTCTGTAGAGCAATAAATTTACCATTTAGCCCAAATGTGTCAATTAAAATATTTTCCTGATTCACTACTGTAAGTGGATGACAGAAACCAAAAGTAATGCTAATAAAAACATTTAATACTAATGTATTTAAACACAAGTGTATATAGCATGTAGGCATTTTACTTGTGATTTTTTTTGTGTGTGTGTGTGTGGTAGTGGGGATTGAACCCAGGGCCTTCTGCATGTAGACAAGCACTCTACCAACTGAGCTATATCCCCAGCTCTTACTTTTGATTTTTCTATTAAAGATATGCTTGGACTAGGGTTGTAGCTCAGTGGTAGAGCGCTTTCCCGGCATGTGTAAGGCACTGGGTTCAATCCTCAGTACCACATAAATAAGTAAATAAATAAATAAATAAAGGTATCGTATCCATCTACAACTAAAATAATAATTATTACAATGATTGTAATTATAATAATTTTTAAAAAGATACCCATATGTAAGCTATAAACTTTTAACAAATACATTTTATTTAGTCTATAAGAATTTCAAGCCACTAAGGCAAAGGCTCTGATTTTGTAAAATAATGTTTCTAAAAGGACAATATATTTTATATTTTAATAATTGCAAAATTCTTTTAGATATGTCATATCATGTGATCCTTTAGAGCTTATTATTGTTAATTCTGTTTTATGAAGGAGAAAGCAGTAACTGAGGGCTGGGGATGTAGCTTAGTGACAGAGAGCTTTCTTAGCATGCATTAGGTCCTATGTTTAATCCCCAGCATTGGAGAAAAAAGAAAAGAAAGAAAGAAAATAGCATTTCAGTGTAAACAAGGTCATACACCATTGGCTTTTTGTTCACCTTTTTTTCATGTAAACTTAAGTCTGACTTTACTATAGGGTGTAGTTTTTAAATACAGACTAGATTTTGCTAAGAGAGTTTATCTGAACTAAATGATAACACTTATATTCAGGAAATAAATCTAGTGGAGTTAAAGACTGGTGAAAAATTGTATTCACCTCTGCGCGAAATTTGACTTCAGATTTGGAACATTTAGACTTCTTTTTATCATAGTGAATAAAAACCTAAGTAATAGACTTAAAACACATTAAATAACCTGCTACCTTGTAAGCAAAGTTTTACAGTCTGAAATTTTTACAACTGTGAGTATTCTGTACTAACATTGTTAATAAACAGATATCTCCTATCTAACTAAGACACAAAAAGACTTTCCGCAAAAGATGCCAAACATCCTAACAGATCAAGGATTGGATAGGGTAAAAGGAGGAAGAAGAATTGCAACAACTTAAACATTTTAATCTCCTAGTCTTTCCAAGTAAGGATGTTAAGTAGTAAATATTTATGAGCTATATCTCTTCTTGAATTAGTTGTGATATCTGTAAAAAATAGATATTTCATTTTGATACATTTTGATTATATCATAATTAACGTTTTGACCAGCAAAAAAACTTAATTTTTTGTTTTTTAGCAGCAAAAAAGAGAATTGGAGAATTGCAGTATTTTGCAGAAGTTATAAGGGATATTTTTTCCTTTCTTAGTGATTCTCAAACCCAGATGGCTATACTGATAGCATTTGGGGAGTTTTTTTGTTTACTATAGATTTTATCATGGAGGTTCTCATTATTGAACTTGGATAGAATCTCAAAATATGTATTGTTTTAAAATGGTTCCAGTTGACAGGTTCATCAGTTCTGCCCCACTTAGAATAGGTCTTCCTTGTTGGAAGAAAGAAATTGTCACAAAAGAACAGGAGGGAGGGAGAAAGAGAAAGAAAAGCAGAAATTAGAAATTTTCACTAGAGGAAAAGAGGGGGAAAAAAGAAAAGCAGAAATTGTAATCTTCCAGAAATGTTACTTTTTTTCTGAATCAACTTACCTTCTTTTTTCTCTTTGAATTCACTTTATTTGATTAAATGCTAAGGTGTATGTTTTCATGAAATCTCTGAAGTCGAGGTGCCTTTACTGATCAATGATGTCTAACATTTGTGGTAATGGAGACAAGGTTGTGTGAAAACCTTGTGATAACCTGGCAAGGTCACTGAGTGCAAGCATCTTAGATTTAATGATACAGACTTTTCCTTCTGTTGTAGTTAAATTTTTTTAGTGAATAGCTTAAAATTTTGAGGGACTAAAAATAGTAGATTTTAATTTCTGACATACCAAATTTTAAAATGCAGATCAACTCTTTTGTCACTTAGTCATGACTTCTGGTTAGCCTGTTAGTTTTCTATCGCTATAACAAAATACTTTAGGTAATTAACTTATAAAAAGAAAAAGATTATTTTGACTCATAGTTTTGGAGGTTCTAGTCCATGATTGGGCAGACCCATTGCTTTAGGTCTTTGATGGGCTTGCTGGGTGGCCATGGCACAGAGAGCGTGATGGAGCAGATGGCTCACATGAGTCAAGAAACGAAAGAGAGAGAAAAGGGTTGGGGTCCCACCATCCCCTTCCAGGGCATGCCCCTGGTAACCTAAAGGCCCCCCACCAGGCCCCATTTCTGAAAGGTTCCACCTGGAGAATCTTTAGCTTCCCCAGGGACCAAGCCTTTAACACATGAACCTTTAAAGGACACTTATCCACACCATACCACTAACCCTACAGAAATCTCTCCCTAGCCATCTATTGTGGGAAATTGGTAGATCCTTCCCTGCCTAGCCAAAGGAGGTCTTTAGATTTCTGGCTAAGAATGCTGTGAGGTCTCTAACTAGAAACAGTACTAAAACTGTAGAGCATCAGACACCATATGCCACACTTTCCTGTCTGTTATTTCTACCCCTAGATTTTCCATGTGCCACTCAAGTAAGTGAGCAAGAAATACAGCCTGCTCCCATGAAATCACCTGGACTTCCTCAGTTCCAGATGTGTCCTTGAATCAGATGATAAACTTTGCATCAAATTGCAGAAGGAATAGTTACTAACTCAAGACAGTCCTCTCAATGTTCAGTAGTTTATCGACTTGTTCATACCCGAGACTTACCTCTAATTACAAATTGAACTAAATTTAAAAATAGAGTCCTTGATATAGTAAAAATTAATTTTGATCAACTAAAACGAAATAATCAGTGGGCAAGACGGTGACATATTAATGATGGTTTTGTAGCTCAGATAAGTGAACTGGCCAAATCTCTTGAGTTTTGGTTAGTTTCAGAGGGCTGAGACGATAATACCAAACTGATTTGCACTTAGAAGTCACTGAAAATGAAAAACCTCACCATAAAAGACATTCACTACTTACTTAAACTGATTCTGTCTGCTCACTAAGAGAGATATAAATAATTATGTATTTTTACCCGGGCAATTTATTACACTTATGTTAATTACATATAATCCTTCTCATGTTCATTCCCAGCATTCAAAGAAAAACCTCCATACCCACCAAGTCAGGCTCAGGCAGCTCTTCAAGACAGTCTCCCTGAAGAGTACTCTTACAAGAAATCAATAAGAAACCTGTTTAAAAATATTCCTTTTGTCCTTCTGTTGATCAGTTATGGTAAGTGGCTTTCTTATATTTTCTATGATGTCTGTGTAAACCTTTGAGCACTGTGAATTCTTTTTATTTAACCTGGTGGTTTAACCTTAATGAAATTGGTTAGTGAACTCCATAGCATAATCACGGACTTAAATGATAAACTGAAAGCAAAAGAATCCACGGTGGATCATTTTACATGATTTCAAAATAAATAGATCTCAAAGAGAGAAGTGTTGTTTTCTTGTGAGTTCTCCTAGAGTGCAGGTCATTGATGAACTGTAGTTATGACCACATGCAATAAGCATGTGGGAAGTGCTGTCAATGGCTCCTTTCTTACACCCTGTGCAAACTGGCACTTATTTTTTAACTGTTCTGTCAAAACTAGACATTAAGAAAATCATATTACAGTTCTAACTGAAAAACAATTCTGGCTGGGCGCAGTGGCAACTTGGGAGGCTGAGGCAGGAGGATCGTGAGTTCAAAGCCAGTCTTAGCAGATTAGCAAGGCACTTAGCAACTCAGTGAGACCCTGTCTCTAAATAAAATATAAAAAAGAGCTGGGGCTCAGTGGTTAAGCACCTGGGGTTCAATTAAAATTCTGGTTCTTCTAAAATTTTCAAGTTAGCTGACAGTTACTTATCCTACACTGTAGCTTTGACTGCAGATACCAACACTGGTTCTTTTCAGGGTTTTCTGACAGTTTGGTTTTTTGTTTGTTTCTTACATAAACACTATCCACATTGTATACTAACACTCCCTGATTTGTGTTTTTCTTGCCTTCGGAAGTTACTTGCTACTTCTCTTTTTTTGTGGCCTGATTTGAACTCTCACCCTTTCAACAGGATTAGTTCCTCAGTTTTTAGTGGAAATTGCTAATCATGAAAGAATGAGATATTTAATCTAAAGAACTCCATGTACCCATCACTATGTAGGCTGTCACCCAGCTTCAACAGTTACCAACATCTTGTCATTCTTAATTTATATACTTCCTCTATTTTTTCCTAGAATTATCATATAAATAAATATATATATTTGTTTTTTTAAACCACTCAGCCACATCCCCAGCCCTTTTTATTTTTTGAGATGGTGTCTCACTGAGTTGCTTAGAAATTTGTTAAGTTGCTGAGGTTCGCTGTGAACTTGTGATCTTCCTGCCTCAGCCTCCTGAGCTGCTGGGATTACAGGTGTGTGCACCACACCTGGCTTCCTAGAATATGTTACAAGGGAATTTCAGAAGTGTCATATCATCTCATCTTTAAATACTTTAGCATGTCATAATTCCTTTCCTTAATTTTACAGGAAATCTCCCTTTGTAGTTAAACCTAAAATTTTAAAGAAGGAGGTAGAGAAATACAGTGGCTCAATACTATTAGAGCAAATTTATTTCTTAAGGCTGTCATTTAAGAGAACTTTTTTAATACAAATTTGTATTGTTTTCCAATACAAAATTTGTTTTTCAGACAAACTTAAGACCAACTCTAATACAGACATAAACACAGAATTTCTCCACATGTATGTACACTCTTCATTCCAATCTCTTCATTTTGTGCCATTATTTCCTTTACCTGAAATGTGCTCCTACAACACCTACCTTAATGTGTACTTCACTTATTGTTCATGTTGTTATTCATTTGTAATTTATTTCATCAAAAGCTATAAATACCAACTAAATGTATAACAGTGCTCTAAATGCTTTGTGGGCTAGAATGAAGCATGGTATAATTTCTGCCCACAAGTAATTTATCATTAGTTGTCATGACCATTTATTGTTATCTCCCAAGTGGGGAAGATATTTTAAACACCTGAAAAGTGAACAACAATGTAGGATGGATTTATAAAAAAAATAATAGTAATATGAGAGGTTGCCTGGTGAGTGCATGCTACAGGCCTTCCTGGTTAGGAAAGGGTGAATGAAGGAAGGGCTGTGGGTGGCCGGGAGGGCCACGTGAAGAACATGGGGATAGAGTACATTGCGCAGACAAAGGGGAAAAGGAAATGGTGTGAGCCAGGGCCTGAGATGGTACCGTCTCTGAGTACCATCTGACTTCTGTGGAGTATTGATCTCTTTAGGATCATATCACTTGGTACCTAACATGATTGTACACAAGTGGTTATTAAAATTATGTTTAAGGGAGCTGGAGTTGTGGCTCAGTGGTAAAGCTCTTGCCTGACATGTGTGAGGTCCTGGGCTCCGTCCTCGGTACTGCATACAAATAAACGAAAATAAATAAATAAATAAATAAAATAAAAGATCCATTGGCAACTAAAAAAAATATTTTTAAAAAATTATGTTTAAAGTCTGTTAAGGTGTGGGGCTGGGGTTTTGTCTTAGTGGCAGTGCACTTGCCTGGCATGTGTGAGGCACTGGGTTCCATTCTCAGCACTGCATATAAATAAATAAAATAAAGGTCTATCGACAACTAAAAAAAATCTTTTAAAAAAATGTATAAAGGGCTTTCATATGTATTTAATTCTTCAAGTAACTATTTTTGAGATAGAAAGAAGACTTGATTTCTTTTTTCTTAATTTTAAGTTTTATTTATTTATACAAACAGATAATACATGCATATAGTATCAAATTCATAAGGTACTATGGGTGCACAATGGAAAGTTAGTGTCCCCCATCTCTTTTCCTGGGTCACCCACTTTCCCTCCCAAAGGCAATTACTGTTATCATCTTCAACTTGTAAGGCTATTGTAACCTTTATAATCAAAATCAGATAAGGATTGTATAAGGGGGAAATTATTAGTTAATTTCACTTATGAATGTAGATAGTGAAAAAACCAACTAAAATACTAGGAAACTAATTTATAAAAATAATAATACATCCCGACCACATTTGGCTTATCTCAGGAATGAGAAATGTTTTAGTAGTCTTATAATATATTCATATAATTTACTACAGTAATGGATCAAAGAGAAAAATTAACCTGATTGCTGAGTGAAAGCATGTGATAAAATTAATTACCCATTGATCAAAGACTTGTAGCAAACTGAATACAAATGAACTTTCTGAACCGGATATATCAGGTTTATCTACAAAACCCCAACAGCACACATCATATTAAAGGCAAAACCTTAGAACCATTCTATTTAAGAATCAATAAGAATATCAAGAACTATGTAATGTTTTGAACAACCAACAATAAAAATTAAAAAAAAAAAAAAAGAATCAATAAGAAGCATCCCTTAGATAAAATACCTACTGTCACTTTCTATTCAGCATCCAACTGGGAGTTCTGGCTGTCTCAGAAACATAGGAAAAAGAAAGAAACAATATAAGAAACAGAAATAAAGAAGTTATTGTTTGTAGGTAACATGATTATGTATATCAGCAGTCAGAAAACAATGGCCCTGAGCCAATTCTATCTGTTGCCTGTTTTTATAAAAACAGTTATTGCGCAGTGTCTTTAGCTATTTCTGGGTTCCAAGAGCTAGTTGAGTAGTTGCGTCAGAGACAACATGGCCTGCAAAATTAAAAGTATTTACAATCTATTCCTTTACAGAAAATTTGCTGATCCCTCATCCATTAAAATAATGCAGAAGAACCTAGAGACAACTATTAAGCTAATGAATCATTGAGATTACTAGATAGATAACTAGTAATCGATAGATAACTAGATAATTCGAAAACATTCATTGCATTTCTCTTTATATCAGCAACAAAAATATATTTTGAAATAAATAACCAAAAGAACTTTATAAAGAAAATTATAAAACATTGCAAGGCATAAAAGAAGACCTAAATGAAGGAATATACCTTTATGTACAGAGAGAACTCAAATTGATAATGACGCCAGTTTATGATGCAGGATCACAGTATTGATGAAAGGGCCAGACACAGAGACTGCTTGGGAAGCTAATTTGGGTTTACTCTATTGAAGGAATATAAGGAGCAAAGAGTTAGGAAATACGGTGAGGAGCGCAACGTCTCAATCACAGTTGGAGAAATTTCTTCGCCCACTAAACAGACACAAGTTAAGGATCATAATGTTGAGTGAAGATCAGGTCACATCTTTTGGATGAATACTTGTCACCTCCACGCCTTGTGTTACACATAAGATTGGAGCAGTCTTGCACATGGAATAGTCTGGATAAGGAATAGCACTTCTAGGAGAAATTTTTAGAATTGTATATATAGTGTCAAAGACTCGGCAACCAAATGAACTAAGGAAAGCATTTTTGAGGTATGCTTTATTACTATCCCAAATATTGCCGTCTGTTACATGAAACACAGATATACCATACTCTAGATTCAGATAACATAGCATCCCTTGCTATTAGTATTCTTATAATATATTCATATAATTTACCACAGTAAAAATTAATCCTATTGCTGAGTGAAAGCATGTGATAAAATTAATTACCCATTGATCAAAGACTTGTAGCAAACTGTGAATAAAAATGAACTTTCTGAACCGGATATATCAGGTTTATCCACAAACCCCAACAGCAGACATCACACTAAAGGCAGAACCTTAGTACCATTCCATTTAAAAATCAGTAAGAAGCATCCCTTAGATAAGATACCTACTTTGTAAATTTATTTATTTGTTCTAATCGGAAGTCTTTGTCTAAACACTTGCTGTCCTTATTCAGATCTGGAATAGATAAGATCACCCTTGGGTGCAGTGCAGTAGAATACACTCAGCCCTGAGCATAGACCTCATTTTATCCTCTGCTTTCCCAGGCAAATCCAGTCTGGCCAAGGGGCAACCTTGGACTCAATGGGAAGCTGAGTAACAAAGACCAGTTACCCAGGTGTTTGTGTTCAGTTTTGCTAACAGGTTTTTAGACCAGCTGTAGGCTTTATCCTGTAATCTTATTTAAATAGGGATTATAATAGAACAAAACTTATTCTAAAATTCCTATGAGAGAAGTAAGGATCAAGAACAACAAAGATAATTTTAAAATTATTAAAGATAATTTTAGCAAAGAACAAGATGAGGGACTCATTCTTAGCTACCAAGATTTATAAAGCTATGGTAATTAAGATGTCATGAATAGCAACAGATAGATGGTTAGATCACTGGAAGAACAGAGAGGCCCATGGTCTACTCCTATCTTGATGGAGGCTAAGTTATATTACCTCAATGAAACCCTTGCAAAAAATATTTAGTGGCCTGTCAAATTAAAGTTTATTCCTTGGCGTGCTTCATGTTCAATGTGAATTAGCAGCAAGGTTTTGCTCATGAAAGTGACTCGGATTCAGTCTGACATCTCCCTACCTGCTTCCACAGCTAGTTGGGTGGAAAACAGAGTGTTAGTTTTGCTCATATTTGAAGTCACGTGGCCACTCCTGGAATAAATAAAACGAGAATATTTGCAAATAATTAATGACTAGCACATCATACATATATAAAAACTTGATGTTTGACAGAAATTATTTCATCAATTGTCCTAAGATAATTGATTATCTCAATCAAGGTTGAGCATCACATACAATAGCATACACATACATAATGCCATCTGGTTTTCTTGGGATTGTTTTTTTCTTTTTTTTTTTAAAGAGAGAGAGAGAGAATTTTTTAATATTTATTTTTTAGTTTTCGGTGGACACAACATCTTTATTTTATTTTTTTAAATTTTTATGTGATGCTGAGGATCGAACCCAGCGCCCCGCACATGCCAGGCGAGCGCACTACCGCTTGAGCCACATCCCCAGCCCAGGGATTGTTTTTTTATGATTGGTTCATAGGAGTTATTTTTATAGCAGATACTACTCCTTTGTTCTCTTATCTTTTGAGAAAGATGAGAGATAGGATTGTGGAAAGTCTAAAAATTAATCTGAAGTACAGATGATGAAATGTTAATGTTCAACAAAACTAGGTCTTAAATAAGGATATTTGCTATAGAATTTTCTATACTCTTTATATTCCTGAAATATTTAATAATATATATGGAGAAATAATAAACTTAAACCTCAGTAACATTAAAATCTCAGCTTACCAACATTCATATAATACATTAAGATATATTAGGGTTTATACCTACTCATATGATTCCTGATAACCAGCTCTTTTTATATGTCTCTTTTTAAGTATTCTTTCATTAATATTAATTTGCGAATTGCCTTGTAAATATTTTGATACAGGAGTAAGATCTTTGAAGTAAGATCTTTTAACATTTATTGGCTATAGTGCATTGTAGATGCTAAGTAAATGATCCATTGCTTGTTTGGTTGCCATATACAGTGTTGTATGTGGGGATATGATTTATGGTCAGAATATCTGAATCTAAATAATAATAGTGCTATGACAGAATTTTGCTATCATATTCTATTAGTCCATTTTCTGTTGCTATAACAAAATACCTGAGGTTGGGTGCTTTGTAAAGAAAAAAATATTTATTAAACTCATAGTTTTGAAGGCTGAAAGTCCAAGAGCAGGTTATTCCTTTTGTTCTGAGGACTCCCTGACTGCATCACAATGTGGGAGAGAGGAGAATGGGAAATGGCCACATGTGAAAGGGGCCAAGAGACAGGATCAACTCACTTTTTAACAACCTTGTCTTGTGAGAGCTAATTCTCTACCATTATTAGTCCCTTTCAAGGGTTTAATTAACCTAACCACCTTGCTCTAGGCCTCCCTCTTAAAGATCTCATCACCTCAATACCAGCATACTTGGGATAAACTTCCAAACCATAGCACTTCTCTCTAGTAAATTTAGGTGTTAAATTAATCAGTCCACATTCTGAAAGGGAATGGCAGTAGTTTGGAGATACATTATATTTTCACAGCTGTTACCTGGTATTCCATCTTCATGAACTGGGAAATGATACATTTATAATTTTTTTTCATGTAGGAATCATGACTGGAGCATTTTATTCAGTCTCAACATTATTAAATCAAATGATATTGACACATTACGAGGTAAGCTTCTGCTTTCATCTTATTGCATGTCTGGCCAAGAATTTTTCTTCAGCCGTCTGATCATAAGCTCAAGAATTAACACTTTGTTACTGTAGAAGATTTACATTTGTTTTAACTGAGAATACATTTGTTAAAAAAAAAAAGAAAAAGAAAATTTTAAGGGTCTAGTTGAATGAAGCAGCATCCTATCTGAAGATCTAGAAAGGCCCTCAAGCTGAGCGGAGGAGGTGAAAGGACTGAAGAAAGGAGAAAAAAGGGACAAAACAGGATTGGTCATTTGGGGGGTACCTGGGATCAAACCCAGGGATGCTTAACCACTAGGTCACACCACCAGCCCTTTTTATTTTTTGAGACAGGGTCTCGCTAAGTTGCTGAGGCTAGCCTCAAACTTGCTGTCCTCCTGCCTCAGCCTCCTAAGCTGCTGGGATTACAGGTGTGAGCCACCGCACTCAGCTCTATAGTTACTTTACAGGGTTAAAATAGCAGGAACGCAACTCCTGATTGGTTGCTGTGCATCTCTAGCCCATTTTAAAGTCAAGTTCGATTATGTGGCAGCTAGCAGGAATGACTCCATTCTGATTTTAGTCTAGTCTGGTCGGGTCTGTCTGGCCTAAAATAGGAGCTCAATCTGAAAACAATGATCTCTTTATTTATTTATTTAGGTACCAGGTATTGAACTCAGAGGCGCTTAACCACTGAACCACATCCCCAGCCCTTTTTATGTTTTATTTTGAGACAACATCTCGCTAAGTTGCTTAGGGCCTCAATAAGATGCTGAGGCTGGCTTTGAGCTCACAGTCCTCCTACTTCAACTTCCCAAGTCACTAGTACATGGTGTGCACCACCATGCCCAGTGATCTCCCATAATTTTTATTAAACCTATTTAATCTGACTTATAAAGCATACAATGTTGGAAGCAGAAATCATTGTCACTGTGACCATACTTTACTAATGTTATTGGGTATATGGAAAAAGACAAGCTATTTTAAAGAGAAATCAACATAAACACGGAGAAGGAAATATTAAATTCTAACTGACCTCTCTGCTTTCCAAAGGAAAACACAGTTGTAGTCTGTAAAAGCTATTCCTTTTTAGATATGTAGAAATTACATAAGAATCCTAATAAAAATCATTGTGTTTCTAGCTATGGAGGGATAAGGAAATTTTTTTCTTTTTTATTCCCTCTCTTATTTTAGATATTTTTTCTGGTTTTAAAATATGATGCCCTCTATATATTTTTACAACCCACCCCCAAACTCTAACCCAGGTATTGAATCTTCCTTCTGTGTGCTTAATTTTATCTGATTGTTTCCATGGTCTATATAAAGGTATGGAATATGAAGGATATATCTGAATTAAAAATATTTGATTAGTTTCTTCTGCAAATTGTTTTCAGGGAGAAGAGGTGAATGCTGGAAGGATTGGGCTAACACTGGTAGTAGCTGGAATGGTGGGCTCCATTCTCTGTGGCTTGTGGCTGGATTATACCAAAACATACAAGTAAGTGAAAAATAGATGTGTATAAGTGTTGTTTTTTTCTGGGGTGGGGGTGGGTTATCGGGGATTGAACCCATTGGTGCTTTACCACTGAGACACATGCCCAGCCCATTTCTTAAATATTTTATTTAGAGACAGGGTCTCACTGTGTTGCTTAGGACCTTGCTAGGTTGTTGAGGCTGACTTTGAACTCGCCATCCTCCTTCCTCAGCCTCCCAAACCACTGGGACCCAAAGGTATTTTGATTTTGAAAGAAATTTTACTTTTTATCTTAAGGGATTTAAAGTGTTACTGTTACTTAAAGACCTGAATTCTAAACACTTGTAGATTCTTGTCACTTAGCAAATGTTTCAATAATCTATATATTACTATATTTTATTGGTCACATTTATTTTATCTTTGAGAACGTGGATACCTGATGAACTTCTTTCAATTTAACTATATGTATATATTCTTTTTAGAAGGATTATATCTAAAATAGGTCCTTTCTTTTATTTGTTCTTCTTAGTTTTACATGACAGTAGAGTGTATTTTGACATATTATACATGCATGGAGTATAACTTATCCTAATTAGGATCCTGTTCTTCTGGTTGTACATGATGTGGCATTTCCCTGGTCATGTACTCGAATACAAGACTAGGAAAGTTACATTTGATGAATTCTACTGTCCTTCCTATTCTCCTTCCCCCACCCCTCCCTTTGTTTCCCGTTGTCTAATCCAATGGACTTCTATTTTGCCCCTGCCCACCCTTCCTTGTTGTGTGTTAGCATCCGCATATCAGAGAGAACATTGGGCTTCTGGTTTTTTGGGATTGGCTTACTTCACTTAGTATTATAGTCTCCAGTCTATCCATAAAATAGGTTCTTTCTAGAAACATTTGACTTTTGACAGACTTTATCTTGTTCTTTCTTACGTTACAGGTTTGAAAACAATCAAAAAGCTGTTCCATCAAAAACATTTGCCTTTTTTTAAAAATTTTTTTTGTAGTTGTAGATGGACGGCATTATTTTATTTGTTTATTTTTATGTGGTGCTGAGTATCTAACCCAGTGCCTCACATGGGAGAGGCAAGTGCTCTGCTACAGCCCCAGCCTCATTTGTCTTTTTTTGTGGTAAAAATTTTTGGCTGTTTCAAGCCATAGCACCACTTAACTATTATAAAATGCGTAATATAAAAATGCTGTTCATTTGCATCTATATGGAACAGCAAAATGCTAACATAAAAGAAAAAGTGAGAGACACTAATTGGGAAACCAAGAAAGGGTTTCAGAGGCAGCATCTTTTTCTGGAGGCCTTAAAAGAATTAATAGGCTAAACTGTCTCTTGTTTGCTTGGGAGGATGAATGAATGGACCTGTGAGTGAATAAATGAATAGAATGAAATAAACTGAATGAGTGAATTGGAACTGTGTCAGATATGCCTTTAAGGCCCGAGATATTTAAATTATCTATTAAATAAATAAATTAGATATTATCCTAAACCCTTCCAAAGTATCTTTGACTTTGACATTCTCCAAGATAATTCTCTCACAATTTAAAAATGCACTTATTATGGTTTCACTACTGTAAAATTATATCTTAGGGTAAGACTCATTTAATTTGTAGAGGAAGAGCTCATGTGTAAAGGGCTTCTTTCCTTTATAGTCTTTAGTCCACAGAATGTTTAGAAAACTTGGTAGGTATAGAAATGTGTTCTGGTCACCTTGACTTTCTTCTCAGGGTAACTCCCGTTCCTTCTCCCAACTCCTGGTGTGTGTATCCCTTTTGGCTAGGAATTACAGCAAGCGACATGTGATCCCTGTCCCTGAGACACTCGTCGTCTAAATGGCAGCTATAAGGCATCCACATATGAAACATTAAATGATAATATAATACACTAAAATTGATGTCATAAGTGCCGGTTGCGTGGGTATAATTGGTAAGGGGATTTAGAGGAGGGAATTTTGTGAGCTGCAGTGGTTAGGGAAGGCATTCGGAAGAGGTGAGATTTGATCTGAATCGTGAAATATGAGCGGGGAACTCTCCTGTTTGGTGGCATAAAAGTTATTTTGTCTATGTGAGTATCCCTTCCTATCTAAGCACTGGCTATGATGTGAGTTTTTTTCCTGCTGTTATTGAATCTTAAATTTAATCTTGAAAGCCCATGATTTGGTGGATAACATTTTCTGCAAATAAGAAGAATGGGTGAGTTTGGTTTTTTTTTCCTTTGGTACTGGGGATTGAACCCAGAGGTGCTTTACCACTGACCTACATCCCCAGCCCTGTTTATTTCTTATTTTGTGACAGAGTTTTTTACTAAGTTGCTTAGGGTCTTGCTAAATTGCTGAGGCTGTCCTTGAACTTTTAATCCTCCTGCCTCAGCCTCCCAAGTCACTGGGATTATAGGCATGTACCTGTGTACCTAGCTAGAATGAACAAATTTTGAAAAACAAAGATTTATTACTATTTAGATAGCGCAATGGCTAGCCACATGATTTTTATGTGCCTGTGATAATCAGAAAAAAAATACTAACAGTTTTGTTGTTTTGTTTTAGACAGACAACTTTGATAGTTTACATTTTGTCTTTTATCGGAATGGTTATATTTACTTTCACATTGGACCTTGGTTACATTATCATCGTGTTTGTTACTGGAGGGATACTTGGGTAAGTATCAAATATAATAAGACAAATGATACCATGTTATTATAATTCTGAAGTCTTATTACTCTGGCTTTTAATTTTTTAAAGGTCATCCCAAGCTTCTATAATATTTTAAAGTCTGGAAGATCCATCCACTGCTTACTGTGTATATAAATGTGAATTATAAAAAATAGTTGAAAATTGGTTTTTGTATATTGTTGGTAAAAAATGTATAATCCTTACCTAGTCCAAGTAACTTTAGGTATAAAGATCATTGGCCTAGAAAACTAGATGCATTTTTTTCTTAGAAACAAACCAGGAATTGCTTTGCTTCCCAATTCTTGTGAATTGGCTGGTTAATTAATAATAATAATAGTTTCTTACTTTCACATAGCAACCTCAAAATATTCACTTATAGAATGCTTACATCAGTGTGTGACATTGTCCTGGTACTTTTTCCCCCATAATTGTGGCTTTGTTTTCCTAGGTTTTTCATGACTGGTTACCTTCCCTTGGGTTTTGAATTTGCTGTTGAAATTACTTACCCTGAATCTGAGGGCACTTCGTCTGGTCTTCTCAATGCTGCTGCACAGGTGGGTATACCTCAGCTTTCTCTTACACCCTCGATGATTATTTTACCTAGTCATCTAGTGAATATTAAGTTTGACCATAGTTTTTCTTTTAACAATCTCATTTTTCAGTGACTATTTCTAGAAGCCAAACCATATGAAGAAGATGAGTTTTAAAAGTTCTGGGGGAAAAAAATATACTTTTTTTTTTTTTCTTTTTTGGTGCTAGGGATTGAACCCAGGGCCTTGTGCATGCAAGGCAAGCATTCTACCAACTGAGCTAAATCCCCAGCCCCAAAATGTACACTTGAAAGAAGCAAACTTAATTATTTCTCTTATTTTATTTTAGGTGTTTGGGATTTTGTTCACCTTGGCTCAAGGAAAGCTCACAACAGACCATGGTCCTAAGGCAGGAAACATTTTCCTTTGTTTCTGGATGTTTTTAGGCATCATTTTAACAGGTACTTAGGGTGTTGTGTTGTGTTTTTAATTAAATTTTCATGTATATTGCTTCTTAAGGGCTTTGCAGAATTCAAGGGTTAAAAATGAGATAAGAAATCAGGAAATTATTTTCTTCTAAATATAAATGTATTAATTTGTTTTGCTGGGTGTGGTGGCGCATGCCTGTCATTCCAGAAACTCTGAAGGCTGAGGCAGGAGGATCACAAGTTCTAGGTCAGCCTCAGTAACTTAGCGAGACTGTCTCAAAATAAAAAGGTAAAAAGGATTGGAGATAGGGCTCAGTGGTAAAATGCCCCTGGATTCAATCCCTACTCTAAAATGACAACAATAAAATCTGTTAATTTGTTTTAAATTTTTCAAAATCATTACAGTTACTGTTCACAGAAAACAAATCCATTTTAAGAAGCATAGAGAAGACCTGGAGTTGAGTGAAACCTCCTTAGGCATTACTTAACCTCTCCAAGACTGTAGACAGGAAAACCAGCATCAGCTGAGACTCTCCTATGAAAATTCACAGCATAGGTCACTGCTGTGACCATAGGAGGGGGTCAGATTTCTTCCTACCAGCAACCAAGCAGTTCAGCAGTTAACAGCAGCTGGGAGTCCTCTGAGACCAGTTCTGACACTCTCTACCTGGGGAGAGCATAAGAGCTCACAGGTTGAGGGTTCAGTCCCCCGAACTCTCCCTACTTAAACCTCGTCACAGATCTGCTTTTCCAAAACCTTAGGACAGTCAGGGATCTCCACAACCCTCTCCTCAAATTCTACTAAGTTCCTAAGACAGCTCACAGGACTCAGAGAAACACTATACTTACATTTACTGAGTTAATGAAGCATACAAATAGGCAGCCAGATGAAGAGATATCACAGGGTAAGGTCTGGAAGGGTCCTGTGCACTGGAGCCTTTGTCCCCATGGAGGTAGTGTGCCACCCTCCTGGCTCATGAGTTCTTATTTGTCTTCCTGTGACTCTCCATATGAGCTTTCTGAAGCTCCCCAAATCCTGTACCTTGGGGGTTTTATAGAGCCTTTATTGTATAGCCATGATTGCTAATAGACTGGGTGGGGAAACCCAGCAAGGCCTGTCTGTTCAGATTCTTCTTGGCCTTTGTACAGCAGTCCTCTCTCTAGGGCACAGGACAGGAGCCCTCTGGAATGAGGAAGGTCAATGACTTATTATCAAGGGTAGGTCAGACTCAAAAAGTCAAAAAGGTGGGGAGATTAGGGTTTCTCTGATCCACCTTGGGGAAGAGAAATTCTAGTTTCTATGTCCTGCCTTGGAGAGGGAGTTGGGTATCAGAAACCATGGTAAACAAAACAAAACAAAACAATACATAGAGATATGAATATATAGACATAGATTGCTAGATCCATCTCATAATATTACAACCTCTCAAGTCCCCCTTTTCTCATTCATATAGGAATAGAGTATTAAAAGCCTGCAGTGTAGGGTCACTGTAAGGATTAACTAAGGTGGTTCATGAGAAGCTCCCAGGATGGCGTCTGACACATAGAGAATGCCTTATACATGTTATTGTAATGTAGTAGCAATGGTAAGAATCATGGAAGTTGTAGAAATGACATCGAATGGTTGGCTAGTTCTTTCAGTTTTTAGGTATAACCACATAGACATGTGCAGGAAAGAGAATAGTGTCCCATTTCCAGAGAAAGAGAATTTAAAGAACTTTTATCCATAGCTTGCCCGGGCACATAACAGATGTAACGGTGGCTTTGGAAGCAGACCTCATGTTCAGCAGTATTTCCAGGACCAGGTTGACTTCGACTATTATTTTACTTTGTGAATTTCTTCCTGTATCCCTTTACCAAGACAAGAAACAGCGGCTAAGGATAGTCAAAAAATTACAAACAATTTGTTTGTAACTTAATTTGAGGATATAATCTCATAAATCAAAGTTTCTTTTTATGTTTGTTGGCATACCTGATCATTCTTTTTGAAAGCTTCAGTCTGAAGTCTTACCTGTGGTAAATATTTATTTTGAATATACACAACCACCTAAGATTACTATCATTCATGTGTGCTCAAAGGGCATTTTCTCAAAGAAAAACATTCCTATTACACAGTTCCCCCCCATTATCCCTTGTTATCTTCAGTTAATTAACATGAAATATCTATTATAAGTAATTCCTTATTGGTTCTTAATTTCCAGACAAGTACCATGCATCTATCAAATAGAGTGCATGAAAAATAATTTTGTACTCCCTTTGACATTTTTTTATTAGATTCATAAATGTTAATTCAAGCAAATCATGCCTGAAAAATTCATGTAGAAATGACAAAATGTCTTTGAAATTAGTTTTACATTAAATGCCCTTACTATCTAACATGCTAATTAATTTCTCTCATGTGTTGAGTATTTTAAAACTGGAGAGACCTTGATGGGCTTTCTAAAATATTGATACCAGTAATGAAGCAGGATGAAAAGGGACAGTGTGGATTTCAAGGGAAACACCGGACTTCCAGTTTCTAGCCTGACATGTGAGAAATTTGAAGGTTGCCTCTCTACACTAACAACAATTTAAAAACTGAACAAACTGAAAAATCACTCTCTTTTTGGATCCATTAAGAGAAGTGAAGTTATCATACAACCATTGCCTCCAATATTGGAGAGACCAACAGACAGAGAGAACTACGGTTTACTCAAATAGAACCCAGGAGTGGAAACCATTGCTGGGGTAGGAAACCAGAGCTGGGGTTGCTGAGGTGCTGGAGGCTCAGTGTGGACAACTCTGAGATCCTGTGGGAACCTACTCATGAGGCCCACAGGCTTTTGCAATTGTACTCCTGCTTCTGCAGGAAGAGAAAAGGAACCATATTTTGGAAAACACCTGGAGCATTCTACTCATAACAAGATATGCCCTCAGAAGGAACTGTTGTAATCTGCTGTGATTTATCATAGAATCTGACTGACCTGGGGAGAGGTAAATACCCAAATCCTGCCCACTCCAGCCTTCCCAATGGAAGAAGGAAAATATGCAACTCTAGACCCCCTCCAGTCACCCTGTCCCACCTAAGGTGGGGGTGGTGAGGGGAGGATTGAGCAACATTTGTGAAGTTCACAATCCAGAAGCACTGGCCTCATTATAGGAAAACATATGCTTCCCCTCCCCCGCACCTTACCACCACATTACTGTGGGTCTTTTACAGCCGCCCTTTTGAATCCAGTTTATCACGAATGACGATGAAGAAAAAAAATCAAAAGGCACTCCAAGGCAAAAAGCAACTTGAAGCCGTGTGCAGTGGTGCACGCCTATAATCCCAGTGGCTCCGGAGGCTGAGGCAGGAGAATTGAGGTTCAAAGCTCTCCTCAGCAATGGCAAAGCACTAAGCAACTCAGTGAGACCCTGTCTCTAAATAAAATACAAAATAGGTCTGGGGATATGGCTCAGTGGTCGAGTGCCCCTCGTTTTTAACCTCCCACCCCCCCCCCCCCCCCCCCAAAAAAAAAGCAACTTGAAGAAACAGAGCAAGTATTGCCATACTCAAATACAGTGTGGATGTGAAATTAATCAGAGTGGGAGGTTACAACACGTCAGTGATATGCCACAGACCACAGTGGATGAAGTCGACAGCTTTCAAGAACAGGTGAGCATTATAAACGCAAAGGAGGACATTCTAAGAAACCAAAATATGCTAGAGATTGAAAACATGGTGACAGAGTGCAGAATGTCTCTGGGATTATCATAGACTGGATATAGCTAAAGAAAGAATTTCTGGATTTGAGAATATGTCAGTATACACCTTCAAAACTGAAAAGCAGAAAGACCAAAATAGATCTTTTATTGACTTCCTCCTTGAGGTTATGAATTGTTTTCCTGATTTTATTGAATTGTTTGTATTCTCTTGTCTCTCTCTGAGCTTCCTTCAGATCGTTCTTTTGAATTCCTTTTCAGATACTTGATGAATTACATTTTCTTTGAGGTTTATTATTAGAGAATATTAAGCATCCTTGAGGGTTTCACATTTCCTTACTTTTCCATGTTTCTGTGTTTAAATCTCTGTCACCCTGTTAGCAAGTAGAGTAGCCTATCACTTATCGCCTTCACAAATAAGGACCATGGCAAATGATAAACAGCTATGACCCACAGGAGTGATTAAGGAAGTGCACTGAAGTGGCAGCACAGTGGAGGGTCACTGTGGAGTGGGAGAAAGAGGACAGCGCGGCCTCCTGCCTCCCTTACCCTGTCTTATCTGCCCAGATGAACTTGGAGCCAGGATGGACTTACCTTTATTGGGAAAAGATAAGCTCCAGAACCATGTAGGTCCCCATTGTTCCTGCAGATGACTCCTGCGGACCTCACAGACTCTGAACAGAGTTTAAAGTTGCCATAGTTCACGTGGCTGTCTTGCCACACGGTTAGAGCCAGTGTTGTACACCTTCCAGCCCCGTGATCCACCCTGCTACAACTTGGCACCACCTTGAACCTGGTCCCACTGCTAGAGTGCATCCCACCCTAGGGGTTAGTTGCCACAGCACACCTCCGTTCTTGAGACTCCTCTGTCATTTCACCATGCTGGCACTGTGGAGTCGTCATGGCAACAGCAGTGCCAAGACCCAGACATCTAAACCCATGCAGTGCCCCATCCCCCAGGGAATAGACAGACTAGCACAGAGAAGCCAACACAAAGCCTGTAGCCCCCACATCTGCCTGCACTGATGCCCAGCCCAGCAACCAGGCAGATGGCAACCCAACCACTGAAGAACAGATACCAGCCTGACCACACTACCGCAGCACCTTGCCACACTACCACAGTATAAGCACCTGCAGCCTCAGCCACAATACAGAACCACAGACATGGCTGACAAGAAATACAGCTGAAGAAACTGCACAGAGAACACTACTGAATCTGCCCAGAATCAAAGCTGACACCACACCCGATTGAAACCATAGCATCCACCACATGAAAAAGCCTCTCCCTAACAACAACACGATTCCATAAAGTTGGAGGCGGCGACTATGGCACTAGTTGCACAGATATAAAACCGGGGATACAAGAAACATGGAGAAGCAAGGAAACCTGAAACCATCAGGGGTGCACAGTAGTTCTCTAGTAAATAGACCCCAAAGACAAGGAAATTTATGAAAATGTCTGAAAAGGAATTCAAAATAATGGTCTGAAGGAAGCTGAGTGAGACACGGGAGAATACAAACTAACAGTTTAATAAAATAAGGAAAACCATTCATAGAAGGAGAAATTCACCAAAAAAGATACTGTAAAAAAAGAACCAAACAGAAATCTTGTAGCCAAATAATTCAATGAATGAAATAATAAATATAGTTGATAGGCTAAATGAATCGGAAGAAGGAATTTCCAGACATGAAACTAAACCTTTAAAACTAACTCATTCAGAAAAACAAAAAGAATGAAAAAGGGCAAGGAAAGCCCACGGGACTGATAGGTTACCGTTAAGTGAATAAATGTCCCCATTATGGGAGTGCCAGAGGTTGGAGAAATGGAGAGGGGCCGAGGAAGCATATTTAACAAAATAATCGCTAAAAACTTACTAAGTCTTAGGAAAGAGGTGGACATCCAGATCCATGAAACTCAAAGGAAATTCAATTAGACAACCCAAAGATGTTCACAGATTGGAAGAATTCACATTGTTAAATTAAAATGTTTATACTATCCAAAAAATCTATGAATTTAATGCAGCCTATCAAACTGCCAACGATATTCTTCCCAGAAATGTGGAAGGAAAAAAAATGCTTCTGAAATTCATATGGAACCCTAAATAGCCAAGGCAATACTGAACAAAAAGAGCAAAACTGGAGACATTCGATACCTGACTTCAAACCATTCTACAAAGCCATGAAAACTAAGCAGGATACTGGCATAAAAATAGACACGTAAACCATGGAACAGAATAGAGAACCTAGAAGTAATTCTGTGATCTATATAAATAACCGAATTTCAACAAAGGGAGTAGGAACATACAGTGGAGAAAAGAAAGTCTCTTCAATAAATGTTGAGAAAACACAATGTCCATATCCAGAAGAATGACAGTAGAATCCTCTCACCATATACAAAAATCAACGAAAGGTGGATTGAAGTCTTAAATTTAAGACCCCAAAATATGAAACTATAAGAAGGAAACACTTTATGACATTAGTCTGGGCACAGATTCTTTGGATATGACCCCAAAAACATAGGCAGCAAAAAGAATTGACAGGTGGGATCACATCAACTAAAAGGCTTCCTGTCCAGCAGTGCTTACAGAATGGGGGAAGATATTTACACACTGTTGATCTGACAAGGGATTAATGGGCAGAAGGAACTAAATTCAACAGCACAATAACAATCCAGTTTTTAAATGGGTAAATGATTAGAATAGACATGTCTCAAAAGAAGATACACAAATGGCCAAGTGTATGGAAAAAATGCCCCGCACTGCTCAGCAGGGAAATGTGAGTTAGTACCATAATGACAGGCCATCTCACCCCAGTTGAGTGGCTTTTATCATAATGGCAAAAAATAATAATAAAAAATGTGGACAGGGATGTGGAGAAAAGAGAACTCTCATGCATTGTTGGTGAGAATTAAATTATGGAAAACAGTATGGTATTCCTCAAAATAATAGAAACAGAACTACTATGTTGTTAAGCAGTTCTGCTGCGGAGTATATATCCAAAGGAAAGGAAACCAGTGCATCAAAAACAAACAAACAAACAAAAAACCCTGTAGGTTTATTACAACACCATTCAATATTCATGATATGGAATCAACCTAGGTCTCCATCCGTAGATGAGTAGATAAAGAAAATATGGCAGATATACAACGTGGGATATTATTCAGTAATAAAAAGAATGAAATCCTTTTGTGGCAATATGGATGGAACTGGAGGACATTTTTAAGTGAAGTAAGTCAGGCACAGAGAGATAGCTCATGTTCTCTCACATGTGGAAGTTAAAAAAGTTGATCTCATTAGTAGTAGATTGGAAGGCTGAGGCAGGAGGATCACGAGTTCAAAGCCAGCCTCAGCAAAAGCAAGGTACTAATCAACTCAGTGAGACCCTGTCTCTAGATAAAATACAAAAAAGGGCTGGGATGTGGCCCAGTGCCCCTGGATTCAATCCCCAGTTCTCTCCCCCCAAATAGAATAATGGATGCTGTGAGGGCTGAAGTAGGTGGAGGAGGTTAACAGGTGCAGTGGTGCTCCATAGTGCAGTAGGGCAACTGTGGTTTACAACATTTAAACATGTATTTCAACCAATGGAGGTAATTTTATATATGTGTGTGTGTGTGTGTGTGTGTGTGTGTATATATATATATATATATTTAACTTTAATTTGTTATATATGATAGCAGAATGAATTATAATTCATATTACACATATAGAGCACAGTTTTTCATATCTCTGGTTGTACACAAAGTAAAGTTGTGTCTTCATACATGTACTTAAAGTGGAGATGATTTTGCATGAATTTTGAACTTTTTACAGGCATGTACCAACCAAATCCACTTTTAATACAAAGACACAGATGAAAAGTAAATTGATACAGGAAAGATATCAATGGAAGCATTGGGCTAACTTTTAGAGCACTGAAAGTAAAATAATCTTACCTTCATCTTTTATTTCTACTTTGCTTTATGACTAGTGAAATTACTGAACTGACACATACTTTTATCTTTTTTCTTATTTTACATTCTTTTTGTTTAGTCCATGGCTTTTACTACCACTGTAACACTAGTAACTTACAAATCTGTATCTTCAGTCCCTGACCTCTGTTGTATTTTAGGTCAACACATCCAATCACATCATCTGACCTGGACGTACCATGGACGTCTTCTATTCAACTTGCCCAGAACTGAATTTACCTTCTTCCTATCACACCGATTCTTTTATTTTTCAATTTCAATAACTACTGCTGTCATCCATTTTATAACAGAAGCAAGAAAACTCTGAAGTCACTCAATCCCCCAACTTACCACCATTTTTTATATCTTAAAAAATAACTTACTTGTTCTTTTCTTTCTTTCTCTTTTCAATATCTTTATTTTGTTTAGTTTTTTTTATGTGGTGCTGGGGATCGAATCTAGTGCCTCATGCATGCTAGGCAAGCGCTCTACCACTGAGCCACAACTCCAGCCCCTTACTTGTTCTTTTCTAAAATGTCTCTTTAACCTATCACTAATATTATCATTCTTTCCATTCAGGCAATTACTGTCTCTCAGCCGGCTAACCTCTTGGCTGGCTTCCTGCCTCTTGTCTTATTGCTGATTATAACAGCCTCCATATTGCTGTCCGGTTGTGCTCCCTAATGCACAGGTCTGGTGGTGCCACTGCCCTGCTCAGATGCAATGTTGGCTCTTCACACGGTGTACCTGACACCTATCATATCCTCCCACTCCCTCTTGTGCTTGATTCCCCCCCCAGTGATCCCAAACTACCTGTGGTGTCCAGAATAATAGGCTGTGCTCTTCCTGCCCTGCTCCCTTTATTTATGTTGCTTTTATGCCTTCCTCTCCCCCTTGTCTGCTTGACAAGTTCCTGCTGATTTTCAAAGATGTAATTCAAGGGTGTCTCCTCTGGCAGGCCTTCTGGTTTCCTCGTACTGACGTGGGAACATTTTTCTCCTGTGCTTTCCCTCCCCCTTGTTTGTTTCTGCGACATCACAGTAGTCATGCAATGTTATGGTTATGTACATGTCTATATTTCCTTAGTTCAGAGAATCCTTTAGGAAAATGAAAGTTCTTTTTATCTTTTGTTCCTCAAATCCCCTATTTTGTTCACTAATGAATGACTTATTAAATAAGTTAAAGTCTTAGCTGTTTTGTCAGGATACAAGGATTTTATTGACTATTAAGGCATTAATATTGTGCTAAATATTTTGATAATTAATTAAGGTATTAAATTTTTTGATGATGCCCAAAAAGACTGTGTTGCTTGAAGAAAAATATATCCACAAAAAATTTATTGTAACTCCATTGATGCTTCTCTGTTTCAGCATTAATCAAGTCTGATCTGAGAAGACACAACATAAATATAGGAATTACGAATGTTGAAATTAAAGCTGTAAGTAATATTCATTATGATTATATTATAGAGAAAAGTGTTCAGAGAATAAGTGTGAAACTATTTTTATTTAGACAGTCAACTGTTGATCTGCTGAAATAGCATATGCCAGGTGCTATACATTTTTTATATTCTGATTCTGTTTACAGGTGCCAGTTGATAGTCCCGTAGATCAAAAACCAAAAACGGTTATATTATCCAACCAGCCAGAATCATCAATTTGAAGTTGAAAGAAAAAGTTACTGTCCCTCAGAAATTGGGATACAGCCTGATGATCTTTGGAAAGATATATGGACAGTAAAGCTGGGTTTATTAGTGGTGGAAATGGATATTTACTTGAAAATTACTGTATGAACTGTGAACAAATGGTTGTTGTTTTGCTGGTTAATTTAAGTAATATCTTGCTTAAAATATTTTTGCTCTGCATCATGTTTAACACTACCATTTACCTAACTAGTGTCCATTTTCAGTCATACATCATGTCTGAAAGTAAACTTCTTGACATTTATTCTTTCAAAAGTGTTTTTCTTGTAAACAATGGAAGCTTAAAAGACTTTCTAAAATGATAATATGGGAGTCTTGTCCTCGTAATGCATATAAATGTACATATAGTTTATATAAAAAATATTCAGTGGGACCAAATACACAATCTATTCCTAACTAGCTACCTTTCTACTGTGCTGACCAGCTATCCGGGCCACCACAGTGAATGCAATATACCAACATGATGCTCCTAACCCACTGAAGGACAGTATTGGGATCTGGCATCCAGAAGACTGCTAAGATCCCTTCCCATTTCTTATATTGTTACAAAGTGTTGTAACAGTAACTGTCAATGACCATAAAAACTGTTCCGTGTGCAGATGCTACCATAACCTTGGTCTAAGAATCATGCTCTAATTAAACTAAGGAGTTCAGACACAGGCACTTGAGTTCTTTTCTGTGCTGCCTTCTTATCATGAATAAATGCTGACACTATATTTTTTAGTATCCCTTGAAACAGAGTAGTTTTATACCCAGTGTCCTTTTTTACTCTCTTCTTATTTTCAATATATAACTTTCTAGCAAGAAAATTTTATCATATGTGTTACTGGTTATCTCATGATTTCTTGTATCACATCCTACATTTTTGCCTTGAAGATTCCTAAGATAAGGAAATCTATAATAACTTCAAATAGCCCGGGTGTCCCCATGTAGTGGAGACCTCTTAGATGCTAACAGCTCTAATTTTTCAGTGTCATTTCTATGACCATTCTCCTTTGAGGAATACTGTGCCCAGGCACACATTCCATTGATGTGCTGAGGGAGCGGATTCTTTTCTTCATCACAGAGTGTGTGTAGTCTGCTCTTTTACAAGCTCAGGGTAAGGAGAATAGGACCAAATGTGTTTCCACAGTGCCTACCACTGTGTTTTGTTTACAGTGAGTTTAAATGTTGTTGATGTCCTGACTCAAGCTTATAGGGACTGTCTTTATAGTAATGCCATTTATCAACCATAATTTTTACATTATGCCCATATACACAAAAAAGCTGATCATGTGATGAATATGCTTGAAGTGAATAACAGTTTTGATTTAAGTGAAATATATGCATTGGTTTATGATCTCTGTAATCAAATGACTATGAATTGTGTGGAATCTGACCCGAGAGAATGTGTTATCAAAACAACATAGCTAAGAATCAAAAACTCCGGTTCTGTGTCCCAGATCTGCTTCTGTTTGTCATTGTCACTCTGGACAAGTTGTTTAACCTCTCTGGGTGGCATTTTCCTGATCCATGAAATGAATGTATTCACTTTGATTTTTTCTTTAAAGAGAGAGAGAGAGAGAATTTTTTATTTATTTTTCAGTTTTCAGTGGACACAAAAATCTTTATTTTTTTTTATTTTTATGTGGTGCTGGGGATCGAACCCAGTGCCCCGCGCATGCCAGGTGAGTGCATTACCGATTGAGCCACATCCCTAGCCCTCACTTTGATTTCAAAGATCTTTTTAAAATATTAAATATCATTCATCATGGAGTAAAACAAGTCTAACCAGAGAAAAATGTCTTTGATGATTGTTGGTGGAAACAAGGGACTTTCAAATCTCTTTTTAGCCTCTTTAGTCAGTCTGCAGTAGGTCAGGCAGAATAGGCCTGATCAGTAAGTAGCTTCTTTTGATATTTACATCATAGGTTAAAATTGCCAAAAATATTTTAGGATACCTACTCCCAAATAATTGTTTCTATTTTGAAATTGTCTGTATTTAAAATAAATTTACTGAGTTCCTAAGGTTTTGAACAAATTATTGATAAAAGTTGGAATATTTTCTTTCTGAAAAGTGTACACATATGTGTTGTATATTTTTTCCTTGTTTAGAAAAGGGGCAAAAAAAGATGTGACAGAATCCACAATGAATTGAGAGCTTTTCTGTGTCTTGAGTGAAAATTTCTAAGACGTGTCAAACGAGAATGTTATAATTTTGCAAAATGAAATAGGTGATCATCTTCTGTATAAATTTCAATCAAATGATTTTAGGAAAAAAGTGATGGTTTCAAAAGCTGTGGTGTTTATAGATATTGCAAATATAGCTTTTGCCTTTTCAGAATGTTGGAGAATTGTTTTTGAAAATATATTTGTGTGTAAAATATGTTTGTGTGCAATAGCTAGAAGAATGCCTGTGTTTTATGTCATTATTCATGTTCTAATTTTTGCTCTTTGTACAGTTTATCTTTTTGCTTATTCTTCATTATTTCAGACTCATAATAAATTTATTTTTTTAATGTTAATGTTGTTTGCCTTTTTAGGAAAAAAGTTCTGGTGCTAAGTTATTCACAAGGAGTGGAAAGGGATTATAAGATTTCAGGATAGCCTGAGGAGGGAAAGAGGTAGTTTATGGAACACGAGGAAACAAAATCCACCAAGGTCAGGACTAAAACAAACCAACAGATTTTATTCATTTACAAATAACTTCAGAAAGTGAGGTCAGCAAGATGGCAGAAGAGGAACTTCCTGTTGTCATCCTCCTGCAAAAGCATTGATTTCAATAACTACCCATGGACAGGAGTAAATTTGTGGGTGTCCAAAAGTTCAGTGTAGAGATTTAAACACAGAGTTTGAGCGAAAGATCTGAGAATAGATGCATTGAAGAAAGTAAGAAAAGCAATTTCACATTAGCCACATGACCACATCCTCTAAGTGGCACAACTCAGTGCCCAGAGAAACTGTCACTCTGGGATTTCTCTCAGGAAAATGAAAGCACGAACACCTGTTTCCCCCAGCTGTATGGGATGCTTTCCAAGAGGGCTACTTATTTCTTGTCCCAACCAGAAGACTAAGGTGATTAATATGGCCCAGTGTTGGGAAAAGCCAGACTCAAAGAAGAAAGGCCATGGAACACATTAACCGCTCTGCACATTAATCACTATACACACAAACCACTTGGGAGGCTTTGCTATGGACCACCCTCTTGCCATGTAGACTATGGTCACCCCAAATACTGTGTACATCTCACCCTCTCTTCTCTCAAGGCCGGCTCCCTGAACATACCCCTATAAATAGTGACTGCAGGTATCTTCTGCAGGTCCTGGCTCGGCTCTGCAGCATTGGAAGAAGAAGGCACTTGAAATTTTTAAGGAGCCACCCTAGGGAAAACAAACAGGAAGTTCTGAGCACCTCACCTGGCTTTGCAGGATTAAGGGAAGACATACAATCTTGAGAATAGGTGTAGAGCAGGCAAATCCCTAGCAAATGTCTGAAAGAGTCACAGAATCCCTAGTCAGGCTGGTTGGTAAAGGCATTTCTCTCCCAAGATAGTAAAGACTGAAGGAGTGATTACCTCTTCAAATGCAGAGACAGCAACTAAGACTTCAAGGAACTTCCCTCCCCCCAAATCAGGGAAACATGATATCACAAAAGAACACAATATTTCAGTAACTAAAGAAATTAAGTTTATAAATTACCTGACTAGGAATCAAAAATAGTTGTCTTTATTTATTTAGACTGCTAGGGATTAAACCCAGGGAAAAATAATTGTTTAAGGAAACTCAGCAAAGCTACATGAGGAGACATGCAACTCAAGTCTAAAATGGAATAAGTAAAACAAGATGTTTCACAGATAGAAATCATTAAAAAGAATAGAATTTTGCAACTGATGAATACAGTAGATGAAAGGAAAAATGTCATGAGTGTCAACAGCAGACTTGACCAGGCAGAAAGAGAGCAAAAACATGAAAAGGAATGACAAAAAGCTACAGGATTCATGTAACATCTTCAAGAAAGCTGACTTTTTTTTTTTTTCCCCTTTTGGGGAATTATAAAGGAGTGGAGAAAGAAAAGTGGTCAGAAAGCTAATTATTTAAAGAAAAACAGTCTGAAATTTTTCCAAGTGTGAAAGAGATATGGACATCCAACTATGTGAAGCTTAAAGGTCCGAAATCAGGTTCAACCCAAATAAGACTTTGCCAAGACACATTGTACTCAAACTTTTAAAAAGAATTTCAAAAGCAGTAAAAGAGGCTTATCACAGACAAAGGAACTTCAGAGGCTGTTAGATTTCTCAGCAGAAGCCTTGCAGGCCAAGAGAATGGGATGTTCTTTGAAAATGTGAAAAGTAAAAAAACAAAAACAAAAACTGCTCACCAAGAATACTTCATCTGTATTGAAGATGAAGGGCTGTAGCTCACTGGCAGAGCACTTGCCTAGCATGTGTGAGTGAAGCACTGGGTTTGGTCCTTAGCACCACATAAAATTGAAACAACTACAAAAATAATTTTAAAAAATACTTCACCCAGAAAAGCTATCCTTCATAAATGAAAATTTAAAAGAAGAAAGAAAGAAAATCCCAAGTAAAAGTTGAGGGAGTTCAACTTGAAGAGAATTCTTCAAGCTGAAACAAAAGCATGCTAACTAATTCCTCACATGAAAACATAAAACTCACTGGTAAAGGTGATTATAGAGTCTAGTTCAGAATATCTTAATAATGTCACGGTGGTGTGTAGAATGTTTTAACAGTAAGATGTTCTAATCAAACCTCATGATGGCCACAAAGCAAAAATCTATAGTAGATATAAAACAGGTTAAAAAAAAAAAGGGAATCAAAGCATATCACTAAAGAAGATTATCAGATTAAAAAAAAAAGGCAGTAAGGAAAGAGGAAAGTAACAATGGATCTACAAAATGCAAGAAAACAATGAACAAACTGGCAATAGTAAGTGTTGGCCCCTAAGTAATTACTTTGAATGTAAACTGATTGAATTTTCCAATCAAAAGGCACAGGATGAATGAATGGATTAAAAAATAATAACTCTCTGCCCCTATAGGAGAATCACTTCGGCTTTAGGAATACACATACTGAAAAGGAAGGAATGGGGGAAAAAAATCGTGTGAATGGAAAACAGAAAAGTAGACTTTTAAGTCAAAAACTGCATCAAGCGGGGGCGGGGGTGGGGGGTGGGGGGTGGGCTGGGGTTGTTGCTCAGTGGTTAGAGCGCTTGCCTAGTATGCGTGAGGCACTGGGTTCATTCCCCAGCACCACATAAAAAAATAAAAAATAAATAAAAGTATCAAAAAAAAAAACTGCATCAAGGAACAAAAAAGTCAGTATGTAATGACAGAGGGATCAGTACATCAAAAGGACATAGCAATCATGAGTGGTCTTTTACACTTGGATAACCACACTTTGAGAGAGGAGACTGGCCGTTGTCTGGATGGATTGGCCTGTGGGAAAAAAGTGAGAGGGAAGAGCAAGGGAGGGTTAAGGATCAAAGGACTCTAATGAGGAGACAGGAAATATAAAGAGCTACTGGAGACAGAGAAGGAATCCATTGGACAGAAAGCAGAAAAATTAGGGGTAGTTTTATTAGTGAAGCCAAGGAACTGACACAGTGAATTTTCATGCAGCATAAAATCGAGTCTAATATAAGAGAGGGATTTCTCTTCAGTG